GCCAGACGTTCCTAGCAAACCCTCACAATACGTTTGGGTCTGCCAGGTCTGACCGGCATCCTCCCCCACCATCGGAGCCAACTCACCACCAGGTAGTGATCGGTGGACAGCTCCGCCCCTCTCTTCACCCGAGTGTCCAAGACATGTGGCCGTAGATCAGATGAGACGATGACAAAGTCGATCATGGAACTGCGGCCTAGGGTGTCCTGGTGCCAAGAGCACATTATGGACACCCTTATGCTTGAACAAGGTGTTCGTTATTGACAATCCGTGACGAGCACAGAAGTCCAACAACAGAACACCACTTGGATTCAGATCAGGGGGGCTGTTCCTCCCAACCACACCCCTCCAGGTCTCACTATCATTGCCCACATGAGCATTGAAGTCCCCCAGCAGAACAAGGGAGTCCCCAGGAGATGCACTTTCCAGTACCCCCTCCAAGGACTCCAAAAAGGGTGGATATTCATGTTTGTGCTGATGTTCATTGTTTTTATGTTATGAGTGCTTAGTGTATATTTAGTTTATTTTTTCTTAGTTCATATCTTAGATGTTATTACTGTTTTTCTTATACATTTTATTGTTGGATGTAACTGGGACCCTGTGTACATAATTTCGCTCCACCACATGTACCACATGAGGTGCGAATGACAATAAAGAATCTTTGACTCTGACTCTGATAATCTGAACTGCCGTTTGGTGCATAAGCACAAATGACAGTCAGAACCCGTCCCCCCACATGTAGGCGGAGGGAGGCCACCCTTTCATTCACCGGGCTGAACCCCAACACACAGGCACCAAGTTGGGGGGCAATAAGTATGCCCACTCCTGCTCGGTGCCTCTCACCAGGGGCAACTCCAGAGTGGAAGAGTGTCCAGCCCCTCTCAAGGAAACTGGTTCCAGAGCCAGAGCCATGCGTAGAGGTGAGTCCGACTATTTCTAGCCGGAACCTCTCAGCCTCACACACCAGCTCAGGCTCCTTCCCCAATGTAGCCGAGGATCAGAGCGCCAGGGTCCCCGCCCTCGGCCACCACCCATCCCACATTGCACCCGACCCCTTTGGCCCCTCCCACAAGTGGTGAGCCCATGGGAAGGGGGGACCCACATCTCCTCTTCGGGCTGTGCCCGGCCGAGCTCCATGGGTAAAAGCCCAGCCACCAGGTGCTTGCCCGTGTGCCCCACCTCCAGGCCTGGCTCCAGAGTGGGGCCCCGGTGATTCGCGTCCGGGTAAGTGAACATTAAGTCCATTTATTTTTCTCCTCATCGGGGTCTTTGGGCTGCACTTTGTCTGGTCTCTCACCTAGGACCTGTCTGCCATGGGTGACCCTACTAGGGGCGTAAAGCCCCTGACAGCATAGCTCCTAGGATCATTGGGACACTCAAACCCCTCCACCACGGTAAGGTGGCAGCCCAGGGAGGGGCTGCCACCTTCTTTTTTTATTTTATTTTATTTATTTATTTTTTTTACCCTCTCTTTTTTTTTTTTATCCTATTTTCCAAAATCAAAGTTGATTTATAAGGTCCCAGACCTCGTAATCAATTCTCAAACTTAAGAGTGTCCCCAATTCTCTTGTGTTTGATTGACACAGCTGGCAGAACCGCCCTTCTGCCTGTCCCGTCTCCTGTCGGAGAGCGGGTGGAACACTACCTCGGGATTTTCTGGGGACTTCAACCCCGTTTCTTTGGGTCTCTAACCCCTTTTCTGGGGACTCTAACCCTGTTTCGTACCTTTTTATTTGTTTATTTTATCCTTAGCGTCTAGACATTTTTTACTGTCTCCTTTATCAATTTCAGCAGACAGTTCGCCTCAGGCATCGAGAAGTTTTCCATTCAGTTTTAGAGGCCAAATTTTGCAGAGTTCGGGACAGAGACCAAACAGGTTCTGCTTACCTGATAAGATGAGGCACCTCGTTCCTCTCGTTGTCCAAGTCGAACCGCCCAGTGTCCAAATCATGTACCTGAAATCTGATCACGTCGGGGTCACCAACTATTGAAGGAGACCAGTTTCCCTTTGCGTGTTCGTTTGATTGGACAGGTACTGCTCCGGAGACTTCACCTTAGTTTTAGAGGGTTTATTTTAAACAAAGTTAAAGCACAAGACAAAACAGAACACAGACTGAAATGCATTTCAGGAGACAGACAGAGTACATCACCTTGAGGTCATTAAGGATGGCCGCCCAGGAGTGTCTGACTTTATTTCCTCATTACACAATGTTATAAACCTTTCCTAAGCCTGTCCCCCTTTGGGGGAGGTTCTTCTTTTGATTGGATAATCATCTGCTCACTCATACTGTTGCCATGACATCGAGCTCCTCCTATGACCCTTCTTCTTCAGAGTGATAAACTAGTTTTACCATCTGTTTCTTTTGGGAGAGTTTCTAACTGCCCCTAGAATGTGAAACCCCACACCCGTCTTTGTTCAAAACAAGTTACCCCACATTACTAGTTGTCCAAAACAAATTATGTCATACTACCACACCCACCTTGTTTCTATGTGACAACACATTTATAATGAAAGGGAGTAAACACCATAAACTGATTAATTTAATTGACTGTAAACCCACCATAAGTAAAAAAGTAATTTCCCATTTCTACAAGACCCAGTAAAGTACTGTATGAATGTGTGCTGGTGAAGATTCTCAGTCATCAAGGACATGATAAATTCAAAAAGCATTCAATACAAAAACAACTGGACTTTATTTGTAACAGAAGACGTTTCGCTCCTCATCCGAGGAGCTTTCTCAATTCAAACTGCAGTGAGTGAGGGATTCAGGTTATAAGGCTGAGTGAGATAAGACATACACACACATGTAGATTGGCAATTCACACCTAAACACCTTAACAGTAAGGGTTTCTTAAAAGTTTTTGTTATTCTAATTCACAGACGAGGCCCCTCTGTTTCCATCAGGTGTGAAAACTGGCTGGGAGTCAGTCTTAAAGTTGCATTATATGTTTTTGAAAAAGGAAATCTGAGGCCTCCTCCTCTGTTAAGAGACGGCTTTTCTCTTTTTACATAAATTTCTTCCTTCACCCCACTCTCAAACCATCTTTGTTCTCGGTCCAAAATGTGCACATTTTGGACCAAGAACAAAGATGGTTTGAGAGGGGGGTGAAGGAAGCAATTTATGTAAAAAGAGAAATGCCATCTCTTAATAGAGGAGGAGGCCTCAGATTTCCACTTTCAAAAACATATAATGCAACTTTAAGACTGATTCCCAGCCAATTTTCACACCTGATAGGAACAGAGGGGCCTCGTCTGTGAATTAGAGCAACAAAGACTTTAAGGTCGTTTTCAAACCAGATAGTCCGGTAGACTCGGTTCGGGACCAATATTCATGAACTTTTGTTTACATTTGAGCTGGTGCGTTTGCATTCACACTGCACTGTGAAGTCGAGTCAACCTGTTGAACCAACCTATTCCCCCACTCGCCTGTGGGTGTGCTGCACCAAGAACTACTGAAAGAAACAACACAAAAACCTCTGAAGACACGTCTTCTTCTTCTTCTGTAAATAAAAATAAAAACGATGTGGCATCAAGTTTTAGCAGTTTTAGGAGTTATATTTTGTCATTTTTCAAAAATGGACTTAGCATGAACAGAAGATGAGACAGAAGACCATGGAGAATATTGTTTTTCACACAAGGCAGCTGACGGCTCCATATAAGGTAAGAGCAATGCGTGTTTGTTTACCCTGCGGAGCAGGCCCGGTCTGTTTGCATTCACACTGTACTCGAACCGCGCTGGAGTTCGCTTCTACCGGACCGAGACCTAGGTTTTAGCCCGGGCCAGAGTTCGCCTTTTTGTTCCGTGACAGAGTTCGATGGTGCGTTCACACCTCCCTAAACGAACCGGACTTTCTAGGAAAACAAGCTAGAGTTTGATTAAAGCGGACTAAACAGGGCTAGTGTGAATGCACCCTAAGGTCGTTTTCACGCTAGATAGTCCGGTAGACTCGGTTCGGGACCATTATTCATGAGCTTTTGTTTACATTTGAGCTGGTGAGTTTGCATTCACACTGCACTGTGCAATCAAGTCAACCTGTTGAACCAACCTATTCCCCCGCTCGCCTGAGGGGGCGCTGCACCAATAACTACTGAAAGAAACGACACAAAAACCTCTGAAGACACGTCTTCTTCTTCTGTAAATAAAAATAAAAACGAAGTGGCATCAAGTTTTAGCAGTTTTAGGAGTTATATTTTGTCATTTTTCAAAAATGGACTTAGCATGAGCAGAAGATGAGACAGAAGACCATGGAGAATATTGTTTTTCACACAAGTCAGCTGACGGCTCCATATAAGGTCAGAGAAATGTGTGTTTTTTTTGTCCTGTGGAGCGGGGCCCGGTCTGTTTACATTCACACTATACTCGAACTGCGCTGGAGTTCGCTTCTACCGGACCGAGACCTAGGTTTTAGCCCGGGCCAGAGTTTGCCTTTTTGTTCCGTGACAGAGTTCGATGGCGCGTTCACACCTCCCTAAACGAACCAGACTTTCAAGGAAAACGAGCTAGAGTTCGATTAAAGCGGACTAAACAGGGCTAGTGTGAATGCACCTTAAGACACCCCTACTGTTAAGTTGTTTAGGTGTGAATTGCCAATCTACATATGTGTGTGTGTCTTATCTCACTCAGCCTTATAACCTGAATCCCTCACTCACTGCAGTTTGAATTGAGAAAGCTCCTCGGATGAGGAGCGAAACGTCTTCTGTTACAAATAAAGTCCATTTGTTTTTGTGTTGAATGCTTTTTGAATTTATGAATGTGTGTGGAGGTAAATGAGGACACAGATTGTTGTAAAGCGCTTTGAGTATCTTAATTAGATATAAAGGAACTATATAATGCCCCTTTTCCATAGTCTGTCAGTTGGTAGATTGGGACTCTGTCAAAGTTTAGTGGAATCCCTGAAAAAATACAAAACTAACTTATAGATACTCCATTATTTGTCAGTTTGTATAAAGATGTGAAATGTTCTGATATTACTGGTAATAATTTGTGATTTGTGTCCAGGTGGAAGGAATGGGTATGGTGCCAAACTCTGCAACATCTTCAGTCTGAAGTTCACCGTGGAAACAGCCTGCAAAGAGTACAGACACAGTTTTAAACAGGTGAGGGATTTTTTATTTTCTCTAAAGGAAATACTGAAGTTTTGATGCTGGTTTGAGTCGAGTCTATTAAAATGTAGGTATTTTTAGATTTTCTAGAATATTTGTGGTTGGGTAGTACAGTATCTTTTTTCTTTACACAGTGGGAAGGCTAAAAGTCAGAGGTTCCCACTGGACTCTTGCAGACTACTCTATGAACAGTAACACTGAGGGACTTCAACAAAATATCTCAAAACGTTTGCAGAAGTTCTCAGTTTCTGTCTGAAAGACTCAGAACCTTGCACAAACTTTTAGAACATGTTCAGAATTCGAGCAACATTTGATTTCCTCTCAGAATAACGGTCATGGTATAATTAACAAACCACACTGATAAAAATACAAATTATTCAAAAGACGGGTCCATCTTTGCCTGTCTTTTTTTCTAACGTGTTCTACAGCACAGTAAATCCAGGATGGTTGGTACAAAGTGGGCCGAGGCGGTTATGATGTCAGTGGAACTGCTCGCCATCCCATAAAGATCATGGCATGTCTTAAATTAAAGCACATGGCTGGAGGAGACACCAAAGTCAGTACATCATCTCTCCCTCTCCCCAAGCCATGCCCCGACCTCTCAGGACCTTTGTAACTAAAATTTTATTTGTATTAATTATTGATGCATTGATTAAAGATTTCCGTCACTGCAACATATGTCCATCATTTTGAACGTGACCAGGACGGATGTTTATCATCTGTAAAAATGAGGAGTGGACACGGTGGCTCAGTTGGTAGAGCTGTTGCCTCTCAACGAGAAAATTGCTGGATCAGATTTTGACTGTTGACCTTTTTGGGTGGGTGGAGTTTGCATGTTCTCTTTGTGCTGCGTGGGTTTTCTCCCACAGACAAAAACATGCATGTTAGGCTGATTGGTAACTAAATTGTCCCTAGGTGAGAGAGAGAGAGTGAATGGTTGCATGTCTTGTTTATCTCTATGTGTCCCTGTGATGGACTGGAGACCTGCCCAGCCAGGGTGTCCCCCGCCTCTCACACAGTGACTGCTGGACATGGGCACCATTGATCCCCATGATCCAAAAAGAAGAGAAGAGAAGAGAAGAGAAGAGAAGAGAAGAGAAGAGAAGAGAAGAGAAGAGAAGAGAAACCGCCTTTATTGTCCCACGGATGGGAAATTCAAGTGTAACAGCAGCAACAAATAAAAAGATAAAAAGATTCACACAAAAGTTCCTTAATATTAAAACGATATATAAAGAAATAAGATAAATAATGTCAATAATAATGTTTAATATGTGTTGGAACATTGATAAGGACAGACTATTGACAGTACAATATTATAGGCAGTGTGTGTGTTTTAGCAGAGGTCAGCATGTATTTAATCCTTATTGAGTTTGTTGGAAGCAGTGATGGGTGTAGAGTCTAAAGTCCCCAGTATACTCCTGCGTACATCCATACTCAGAGATACACGTACGTACGCAGAGGTACGAGCGTACCCCCGCAGGGCATGTCGTGCAAAGCTAAATTTTTATGACCACGTACGCGGTGTCGCACAATAAACTGCTCGGCGACGGACTGTTTTGTATGCGACACAAATGTATTAAATTTCCCTTCTTCATCCCATCCTTTTCTTTTCTTTTTTTTTTTCTTTTTTTTGCCAAAATGCAAGTGATCTTTTCCTCCTCCATTGATGCCATGACTGAAATGGTGAGAAATGAAAGAATTTGTCATGAGCTAATTAAACTCAGGTCTGGCATGGTTGCGGGAGGGTCTGGAGATTTCCTGGTGGGCTGGTCTGATGTGTGGGCTGCAGGACCAGCGCTCTCTGTTATTTTTTATTTTTTAGATCTTTTTATTGATTCAGTTCAATTCAGTTTATTTATATAGCACAAAATCACAACAAAGTTGTCTCGGGGCACTTTACAGGAACATTCACATACATAGAAAAGCCAATTAGTAAGGTTCTCTATCTAAGGAAAAAGCAGACAAGTTAAATCTTCACTTCATCGCAGTCTCCCATCCTGAGCAAGCACAGTGGCAACAGTGGAAAGGAAAAACTCCCTTTTAACAGGAAGAAACCTCCAGCAGAACCAGGCTCAGGACAAGCGGCCATCTGCTTTGACCAGCTGGTTTGAGAGGACAGGAAGGAGAGACAGACGAACACAGAATGGTAGGTCCAGATATAGGTCCAGGTGTACCTGAAAGGCAAAAAAACAAATGTTAAGGATAGAAAAAAATAATTACAAATACAAAACATGTTGAGCAGAGTAATTAAAGACGGTAGCAGAGTGAAAAGTGTGGTTAGTTTTAGGGCTGCAACTAACGATTATTTCAATAATCGATTCATCGGTTGATTATTTTTTTCGATTAATCGATGAATCGGCAAAAAAACCCACAACGTTTTAATTTCCACCCCTTTATTCCAAAATTGAACATTTGACTGACATAGCAATTCACACAAAAAACAGGTTGCTATTTTACTATTCTGTTAGTAAAATATTGAATAATAGAAAATAAAAGTTAGTCAAATAGCTTAAAAAAATAAATGTACACAAAAATATATACAAATGTGTCTTTATACCTGTACAATATGTAGCTACTTTGTAAAATGTGTCATTGAGGGAAGAGTGTAACCTTGATTAAAAATGTGGATTATTGTAACCTGGATTAAAAGTGTGGATTATTGTAGTGAAGCTTTCGTCTTCAACCATCGACAGAGGCCTCATGTCAGTGACGATCATGTTCAGGATGTTTCAGTGAAGACAGCTGCTGCTGTGGTTTCCATGATGTCTGTCCATCATGAAGGCTGTTGTTGTTTGTTGTTGTTTTCTGGAATGAGAGAGTAAATATGTATTATAGCATAATTTACAGCAACTCAAGAAATGCCTTGTTTCACTTACAGTGTTACGTTCAGGTAAAAGTAGCTAAAAGAGCAATTAAACACACACACACACACACACACACACACACATATAAAATACTTAATTACACACATTTGAGTAGATGTAATAAATGACTTTAATTCCTGTTTAAATGCAATTCATCCTGCCATACCTGCAGTGTCTTCAGACTTTGCCAACAAATTAAAAGTTGAAGCTTAATCATTAAATTATTATCTTTGTGTTGGATTTATTTATAAATCACATTTAAACACTGCTTGTTCCAATTAAATTAAATAAAAGTAACACAAGTTCTCTATCACCGCCATTAATCAGATAAACAAAAAAACAGCAGCTTCATCTACCAGACAGACTGACGTTACGTTTTCTCTCTTGAAACAGAACAATGTGTTAAATTGTAGAGACTCACCTGCAACACGAGTTGTATCAGCTGCAGCTCCTTCCTCCTCCTTGTGACTCCGACATGTTTACGTTTATCAGCGTGCTTCTCCCGTGTCGTGTCGGCGATTTTCAAAGCGGCATGTTTCTCATTTTTTATCTTTAAGTTCTCCCACACTTTGGAGGACTTGGGTCGAACAGTTTTCGCTGCATCGGTCATTTGTAAAATTTACTTCAATTTCCTTTAAAAACAACGCCACTGCTTTGCTCCCCCCTCGCTCTGTTCAACTCGCGCTGCATTTTTTTTTTCAAACTTTATTCAGTCAGTCAGCATTGACAATGAACTGTCCGTGAACAAAACGAAACCGCTCTGCAGCGCCGTGAAAGATGCATAATCGCGTGACACAACGAATCGATAACGAAATTCGTTGCCAACGCTTTTAATCATCGATTTTTATCGATTTTATCGATTCGTTGTTGCAGCCCTAGTTAGTTTGTCCTCCAACAGTCTAAGCCTGTTAACAACATATTAAAACAGAACACCGCTGCGGCTGAGACTGCCAGCTCTCGTTTTTTGTTTTTTTTTGACCTGTCAATCAATCCAGTAGGCGCGTCTGCAAATGACCAATCGGCAACCTCAATTTGTCCCCAAGGTAAACGCCCCTTGTCTGTTGAGCTGACTGCAGCCGCTCAGGGTGTATGCTCAAGTATGAAGACTGAACCCTCTGCGTACAGTACACGCATACGGACGTACGCAGGAGTATACTGGAGGCTTAACAGCTGCTGGGAGGAAGGACCTGCGGTAACGCTCCTTTGTGCATTTAGGATTAAGTAATCTGTCACTGAACAAGCTCTCCAGTTCAGCACCTGCTTCATGGGGTGGGAGACGTTGTCCAGCAATGATGTTATTTTAGCTAGAGTCCTTCTGTCTCCCACCACCTGCACTGGGTCGAGGGGGCATCCAAGCACCGAGCTGGCCTTCTTGATGATCTTATCTTATCCTCACGGGGCGGCTGTGGCTGAGTGGTTAGAGCAGTCGTCCTCCAATGCGAGAGTTGGGGGTTTGAATCCACCAGCAGTCACGTGCTGAAGTGTCCCTGGGCAAGACACTGAACCCCTCATTGCCCCTGATGTCCCATCAGTGTATGAATGTGATAAAGCTCTGATTATAGTCTCTTTAGAATGATTTGTTCAATTAGCTTTGTAGAGATCTAGTAAAGTGCTGTATGAATGGGTAAATGAGGACTCAGATTGTTGTAAAGAGCTTTGAGCATCTTGAAATAAGATAGAAAGGCGCTATATAAGTACAGTCATTTACCATTTATCTACAAACTGGATTCCAAAAAAGTTGGGACACTAAACAAATTGTGAATAAAAACTGAATGCAATGATATGGAGGTGCCAACATCTAATATTTTATTCAGAATAGAACACAAATCACAGATCAAAAGTTTAAACTGAGAGAATGTATCATTTTAAGGGAAAAATATGTTGTTTCTAAATTTCATGGCGTCAACAAATCCCAAAAAGTTGGGACAAGTCTAGGGGTGCACCGATAAATCGGCCCCGATTTCCTTAATTTGGGGAGATCGGCGATCGGCCGATCTTTAAATGAGAAGCCGATTTTATCCACCGATCGTATCTGCCTCCGGAAAGGTCTGAAAATCATCTGCTGTCCCCTTTTGCTCCACTGTGAGAGCTCACACACAGGTCACTCGGAGCAGCCATGTCGTCGGTTTG